AGAGAGAGAGAGAGAGAGAGAGAGAGAGAGAGAGAGAGAGAGAGAGAGAGAGAGAGAATCATTGTTTGTTTATGATTGTCATTGCTACGAATTGATTATGATGTGACACCAGGAATTGTTGGGGTTGGACCGTCAGAAGGAAGTAAAAAGGAAAAAGGGAGCGCATTGCAGACTTGTTGGAGGGGAACATGGCAGCCTCGACGATCGGTTGGCGACGGTCGATGAGAAGCGCGCGATATGCGATGGGTTGCCTTCTATGCCTTGTGGTGGTGATGAGCGATCTCGATATCGCGTCAAAGGCGCGTATGACTGCAGTTGCTCAGGCTTCGCCGCGAACTGGCAGGCGCATCTGCGTTCGAGGAGAAGTGGAATGCAAGACCGGAAGACGAAGGTGCATCCCAGAATTCAGTTTTTGCGATGGAAAGAAAGACTGTGAGTATCCATCACTCTCTTGAACCTCCCTCCTCTCCCCCCCTCTTCCCCCAATCCCCAACCCTCCATGGTTCTCTTTCATTTCCTCGTCGTCCTCGCTATCTATCTATACCCTGCGTCTCGTCTGGAGGCATCTTTTCGTGCTTTTGGGGTTGCTTTGGTTCGCTTTGTGAACCCCGTACTTTCACCCCGTTTATGTGCGTGTCTTTGCACGGAAAAGGGCGTCCTTTGGGCCTCGCTCCACTACTCCCGACATGCTCGGAAGACAAAAATCATGGCGGTGTATCTTTCCATGTTATAGCGGAAGATTCACTCTCCTTTTGTATCTTTTCATGTTATAGCGGAAGATTCACTCTGGTTTTGTATCTTTTCATGTTATAGCGGAAGATTCACTCTCGGTTTGCACATGTCGAGAGTAGAGGAGCGAGAGGCACTTTCGTTTCTTTTCTGTTTGCGTGTTTGCGTGTTTGCGTGTTTGCGTGTTTTTTTGCGTGTTTGCGTGTTTGCGTGTTTGCGTGTTTGCGTATGTGTTGCGCGCTCGCTTGATGTTTTTCAAAGGAGGCGGTGTACCTTTCCGTGTTCTAGCGGGAGATGCATCCTCGTTTTGCACATTTATTTGGTGAGTGTTGGAGCCAGGCCCTATGGTTGTAGCTTATTGAGCACGGCGCAAATTTGAGCTGGAGAGAATGGATACTCTGGAGTGAAGTGCACACTGCACAGACAGAAAATAAAGAAAGTGCCTCGCTCCACTACAGCTCAATAGCGGAAGGAAGACTCTGGAGTCTCCGGTGCGACGAACTGGCAGGCCCATTGTCTGACAAGTACAGAAGCACGGGGATCGCGCCTTCCGCTGATGATGCTGCCAGCATTGGCGGCCGTTTCCCCTTCTGCTGCTGATACTGCCCGGCCCTGCTGTGACTATGGCGGCTGCGACTGCGATTACTGCATCGGGCGCTTCATCTGCTGAGGCCATCCTGCGGCTGCGGCTGCGGCGGCTGCAGTTGCGGCCGCTGCGCTGGTAACGGCGCACCGCTTGGTTGCTGCGGCGGCAATGGACTCTTAACTCTACTGCCTTTTTTTATTTCATTTCATTTACAAAACATAGAAAGCTTTAGTGCCAAAAAAGTGACTCTACTGCTTCGGTTCATGCTCCCGCCGGACATCGCTCTATTACTCGCGAAATTTGAAAAAGGGCGAGCGCCAAATGTGAAGCATCGGTAGCGCCAAACGTGAAAAAATGGCGATCACCAACGGGCCTAGCTCAGTTGAGACACAGATCCAAGTTCGGATCCAGATTTTGATTAGCAAAAAAAAAAAAAAAAAAAAAAAGGCGATCGGACAACGAAAACAAAAACAAAAATGGCGAGGTTGCTGCCATGGGCGCAGCACGGCTGCGGCGGGGGCGACTTGCCGCGGGCGGCGCAGTCAGCTGGAGTGTGATTATCAGCCCGCCCATCTGCACAGCTGCGGGGGTGGCGCTCTCGGCGTCAGTTGCAGCACCTACCTTCTTCACCTGAATAAAACTTAGTACGGTCATTATAGCTGTCATTATAGCTGGATTTGGGGGCATGTTCCAGTCTAAATACAGCAATAACGACGATTCGTCACATTCGGATGAAGAAGGTAGTATGGTGGCATTCGTTGCAACAGTGCTTTGGCGGCCCTCCTTGCCGCTGTCACACTGGCTGCCGTCGTCACCCAAGTAGAGCGCACGGCTCACTAAATATATCGCCATATCTAGACGGAAAGTCGGGTCTTAGACGGAAAGTCGGGTCTTAGACGGATGCGTGGGTTCTATTCGGGGGAAATGTGAAGCTGGCACGTCTATTGCTGCTGCGGCCGCGGTAAGGCAAATCCCGCCGTTGCCGCAGTGATTGACACGTGGTAGCTATGGCTGACATGCCTTTGGACGCTACCGCGGCTGAGTCATCGGATCTGACTGGATTTCCAAGTCATCCCGCTTTTGCTGCGTCATTTGATGCTGGATACTACAGATGGGTTTTTTTTAATTTAAGAAAAAAAAGAGTTTTTTTTTTTTTTAATTAACATTTTTTCTCTTTCAAATTTGGGACCATTTCTCTCGATTTATCCTTGCGCAGGGGCCATGCTAATCTTCTTTCTCTGTATCGTTCCAATTTTAGCCCGTGTCCAGGGTCCGGGAACACACTAGCAGCGTTGTACAACGTGTGTGACTCTGTTCTCGCATGTAGAAGACGGTTTTCCCAATTTTTTTTCAGGTTATAACAACTCGTTTTCTATGAATTAAAGAAAACAAGATCCTTCTCTGGGTTCTCCCTTCAGCCAATGGGCTGGGAGCCAGCCAGTTGGTCGCCTCTTTTTCAGGATGGGTTCTTCCGTCTCAGCCAATGGGCTGCATCCTCTGAACTTCTGAAGGCTTCCCTCCCCCCTTCCCCCCCCCCCCCCCCCCCCCACACAACTTTGTTCCCCTTCTGTCGGCGCGTTTGTGTGCATGCAAATCACTGTAGCACAAAGGCAAATCACTGTAGCAGCGTCTGGATTTTGCCCCCCACCTCCGAAATTGATGGCAATGCAACGGTGCTACAGTGAGTGAACTTTGAATTAAAAAAAAAAATGCAAACGGAGAGCTTTTCTGCCTGCGGATTGGACGAAACACCGTCCTCAAACCTATAAAATTTTTGATCTTCCATGGCCGTGGTCCGTGGATGTTATTCTCCATACACGGACTCCATTTGTCACCAATCGCGACACGTGGTTGACAACAACAGCCCGTCATTCTAAAAAGGCGCTAGTGGGTCCCGGCCCCAGAAGGACAAAACGAGTTTTTTTCTTTTTTTTTTCTTTTTTGTCGTTTGGAGAGTTTCTGCGTGTATAAATCGGGTATAAATTTGATGCCGGGGTCCTCACAACTATCCCGGAAATTGACCATTTAGGAGTAAGCTCCACAGCCCTAGAACAGGGAAATCATCGGGTAGATTTGGGACCCTGCGGTGATCTTGGGACTTTGGCCGTCAGAGAGGGGCCGCAATATCCACGCCAAAAACAGAGCGGTGGGAGAATCAGCATGAGGCTGCTGTGAAATACTGTTTTGAAAGTAAGCTACATTCTTCTCTCAATTTCACCTCTCACTCTACCTAGTACCTACCGCTACTCCTAATTATAGTCATACGGGGAACCCCGTAGCAGCCAGAGGCCCAGAACCGAGATCACGAGAGAGCATGCGGGGGCTGCTCCCGACCTGCAGGTGGGCTATACCGGCCACGGGACAGCCGGTGGCATCAAAGGCCATGATGCCAAACTTAAAAAGAAAAATGAAAATACTGTTCTACTGCTTTCTCTCTACTAAACACTACTCGTACGCCAAGTGTTTTTTTTAAGAGAGAGAGAGGGAGTTAAACGCAGGTCTACCACGCAATCTAACAGTCACAGTTGGCCAATTTTGACGAGTCCATGGGCACTGGTAGGGAAGCCTAGGGGAAGAGAGGTGGCAGCAGGTGGAGCCTCTCTTCTCATTAGGAATTAAAAGTCTCCGCTTGTCTTAAAACCACCACTTACCCCGAGCCTCTTTTTGCCCAGGCCGGATTCCTGCTGCGCGCCAAGCTTCCCTGAAGGTGCAGTAGTGCTGAGGCTACGAAGATCCTCGAACGCTCGAACGTTACATTTTCATTTTTTTTCTCTTTCATTATCATCGAAATGACCGGACCCAGGTAATTCAGAATGATAAATTAAAAATAATAATAATAATAAGAATGATTTTAGGGGTAACTAGGGCGCGGTCACCAATACAACAGCCCCCGGACCCTAAAGCTCGGTTGTAGACGTTCACGATTTTCCTCCCTCGGTTTGACACAACATTCTTGAAATCGTGACTGAAGTGCATTTTCAAACTGAAACCCTGACAGCGCCCTAGTTTTGCCCCCCATGATTTTATGTTGGTCATCTCTGATTCAATCACGATTCGAACAATTCGTGGGGGTCTGCATTTTCTTCAACAGTTCGTGGGTGGGTGTAGCAACTGAGCTAAAGGCCCGTTGGTTCTGGAACGTTATATTTTGATTTAGTATGTAAGTCCTCTTTTTTTTTTTTTTTTTTTTTTGTGAAGGCTAATTATTTTGAGCCCAACTGAATTGGTTGGGCTTTCCCTAGTGTAGGGGTGTGGAGCATAAGCCGCACCTTGTTTTCTTTAATTCGTTTCGGTCCGACTTGCTTTCCACGTCAGAACGGGAATCAGGGAGCACTGCACCCAGGGCGAAGTCGGAGAACCTTACCCTGGATATACAGGGGGGGACCACACAGTCGAGCGCTCTGGAAACCCTCCGGAAATCTAGTTTTTGATTTGTTCGTGGGCGTGCTGCCAGCATGGGGTGTGGGAAACGTTTCTGAGATCCCACTGTGTCAGGGGGGGTGGGGGGGGAAGGGGGAGGGGAAGGAGTGGGGGAGCAGGTACTGCCTGTTGAAAACTGGGTGTCCAAAAACCCAATTTTCGGAGTAGTCAGATGCAAGGAAATATGCGTGATGATGTTTTCTGAACTCCTTTTCTGTCTGATAGAAGGTAACGAAGGACAGAAATAAAAAAAGCTTCGATGTCTGACGGCTTGGATGCCGCATAAATGACCCTTATGCCCATTCCTAGGGGCAATTTATGCATCTGAGTACTAAGAAAGGGGTCGCGTGGCAGCTACAACAATACTTGACATGCATGTATGGATTTAGGGGTGATGTTGCCTTCCTTAGGGGGGTGCTGCACACAGATCTCGACCCAAAATCTTCCTACTCTGTCTACTTCAGAGCCTTCTCAGTCTTCTCCGTAGTCTTCTGCAGACGCATATTGCTCCCACTGGCATTCATACACTCAGGCACAGACCACGTGCAAAGATTTAACACACACATGCTCCCAATAATACACACAACAAACGCTTGCACAAGCTCAGATCAAACGTGCACGGATGCACACACACATAACGGTTTTACTGTGTTCTTGTTGTTTCCAGTAGAGGTAAAGCTGTTTCAATTAAAATCTGCTCACCTTAGTGTGCTTCATGTTGTCTTCATGTTGTGTTCATGTTGTCTTCATGATGTCGTCATGTTGTCTTCATGTTATTTGCTATAGAGGTAAAGCTCTTTCAATTTGGGATCTGCTTATCTGGGAGGAGAAAGGGTCGTTGTCATTGTGGTGACGGCTCACCACACACAGGCACAGACCAATTGCACGCAATGAACAAACACCCCTCCCACACCATATACACACATCAAACGTGCCCGGACTCACACACCCACACATGTAGACAGACAAACAAACAGATAGACAAGCAGACAGACACAGGGACAGACAGACAAACAGTATACACACATCAAACGTGCCGGGACTCACACACCCCCACATGCAAACAGACAAACAAACAGATAGACAAACAGAGACACAGGGACAGACACAAATATTAGACAAAATGGACAGAATATGCAGTGAGACAGTGCCAATTGAGCCCATAGCGACAGCTATTGACTCTCCAGCTATTTAGATCTTTTCTTCTCCGGACACTCTATTTTAAGTGGAATAATTTTACTTGTAACCTTGCATTGCTTTACGTATCCGCGCTTACTCTACTATACTCCCGCCTAATTATATAGTATCATTTCCAATTCCCTTATGAAGGGTACAACCCGTACTAGATCCATGTTGAAGGACTAGCAGTTTGCTAAGCTCTACCTCTTCACTCACCGGAGTCACCGCACGTTTTCACAGTCCATGAGTTTTTTTACTCTTCCATGTCCCACTTGCCGCCTCCTCCATGGTGCGGTGGTTTGAAATTGCTTTGTCTGAAGTGCATCATCTCCTGAACTGCAGCTTTACGGGTCTTTGAATTGTGCGTCATTTGCAGGTGATGATGGCTCGGATGAAGGAGATCACTGTGTGGCATTCGACTGCGGGCCTCGCCGAGGAAAATGTCCCAGCAAACGGATGTGCACTGCCAAACAAACATGGTGGCCAGATGATGACGGCATTTACCCTCCGTTTAAATGGTACCTGTGCAATGGTGCCGTCGACTGCTATGGTATGTCCTCAAGTCCATTGATGGAAAAGAAACGGTAGAATCGCTCACATGAGTCACATCACTAAGATGTCACAGTCTGTTGATCTCACGGATCATTGTGCTCCCTCGATGTTGCATTTCATCATCATTCTTATGCAATCTATCCCACCATCTGGTGAGTCTCATTTCCTGCTGCCTTTGCAAGGGCCTGGTCTGGTACGAAGACTTCTCCAGGTTGAACTACTTTTGGCAGCGTGTTTTCTGAATCATCCAGTTTACCTTACATCCTTTTCTTGATCTTGTTTGTCCTTGCTGCTTCTTGGTTTTTCAAGCTTTTCTCCCTCTTCTTCTTTCTCCCCTTCTTCTGCGTCATCTCCTGCTACTGTTGATGGCTGCCTGCTGCTGTTCCTCCTCGTCCACACAGAGCCTTTTGTTCTCCTTATTCAACCTCAAAATTTCTTGTTGTGGCGGGCGCTGATGGGACATTACATGTGCCTCGCTCTTTGCAGTTGTGTGATCTTCAGATGCTCCAGATTTGCATTCGCAGGTGTGTGTTGCACATTAATTTGGTTAAACACAAGTTCACCCAACAAAGGCTGAGTGTGAGCTCTTTTTGGACTTCCACTAAAATAATTCATCCATGGGTCGAACCTTGATATCTCCCCAGGATGGATTTTAGTGAATGCCATTTGGGAAGTACTCGCCACATCAAGAAACCCTCACTCACACCAACTATGCAATGTGTGTGTGTGTGTGTGTGTGTGTGTGTGTGTGTGTGTGTGTGTGTGTGTGTGTGTGTGTGTGTGTGTG